AGCACAGTCTGGCTCCACACGCCGGCGGCCACGTGGGCGGGGGGCACCTCGGCCCCCTCAGCAGCGCTCCTCAGAGTCGTTCAATGTCTCGGTACTTCTTCCTCAGGATGGAGACCTGGTCTTTAAAGAGGACAGGGTCGAGCCTCATCTGAGAGTGGATCAGCGGCATATAGCCAAACCAGCTGGCAAAAGTGTTCATGCAGCTCTGCCGCTGGGCGAAGTGGTCGGGGTCGGCCCAGCGTGAGGCCCGGGATGTCTGTGTGGAGAGGAGAGCAGAAATCAAGCATCGGCCATGACACAACAAAATGGCGGGAAAGGGCGGGCGCTGCGGGCAGGGGACGCCATGCTGCAGAGCAGCATCAGGGCTTGAGAGCACCTGGCTCTGTGGTGGCTGACATCTGCTCAGTGGGGGTTTCAAACCAGGGGAAGGACACCCTGCCCACAACGGAAGCTGGCGATTGCGAGCTGGCCACCCCGGCTTCCCAAACAGCGCTGAGGGCTCCACACCCAAGCTCGACCATGAGCCAGCCTGACCCGAGGCATGACACCCACAAGCAGGCCTCCCCAAGCCTGCCGGCACACTACTTCACACCTTCTTCTTCCCTCTCACTCTTTTTTTTTTTAAACCCTCAAGCCCTTTCAGAGATAGAACAAGTCCTTAAAAACCACCAGGAAAGAGGAGAAGGCCACCGCTTTCCACTGCAGGTGCACATCCTACAGCTAGCTGCTGCCCACGGCCTTCAGCCGTACAAGGAAAACACACTGCAATTATTATGGTTTCTCAGGTCAAAACCACACTTTTGCAGTCCAGATCTACAGAAATTTATACATGGATAATTTCAACCAGCTTGTAACTGAGCTCAGCAGAAGTCCTTATGTGCTTGTCATTACTCATGTGGGTAGAAATCCTGCAGAGAAAACCAGAGTGCTTCCAGGAATCCCACCAGCCGAGGCCAGTGCATAAGACAGTACCGTCTCATGGATGGAGAAAATTAACTGAAGTTCCATGTTACACCATGTTAAAACTCTGACCCGAGGAAAAGACCATGGTCTTTGCATGCATACATGCATACATGCAAAGTACTGCGGCCTGATTTTCCAAAGTTCAGGGCAGCTGTAATTCTTACGAAAGTCCATGAAACTTAGCACCTCTGGAAAAATAAGAACCTAACAGCTCTGAAGCAGTTATTATTCTCTACCTGTACCTAAATGTAAACATAATAAAACTATTATTTAAGATAAACTATGAATGCTGAGAACCTAAGTTTTGGTTTATGCCACTTCTCATCCATCTCTGTATAGCACTTACATTTCCCCTATACTTTAAAATCAAATATAAATTCAGAAACTCAAAGTGTGTTAATTAAAATGCAAAGAAACTGATAAAGTCAGGGACTTGCCAAATGAATGGGGTATCAGACTTGATCTTTGCCCAAGGCCTGTCCAGTTTAGCTCAAGTGGTAGGTTATAATGTGCATTGATTACAGACTCTTGATTATACCAAGCCACTAAAGAGCAAGCAAAAGCTTGTTGCTAGAGGATTATAGCAGACATTCTGGCCATTAACAGTGAATTTCCATATGACTATTAATCTCTGTCACAACATTGAGGTTATGTTAATTTTTTATTTGTCTTTCAAGGAATTATGAACATGGTCCATTACATTTCCCAAAGCTGCAGGAACAACTTGTCTTTAGGAGAGAGTTATAGTTCATGGCTAACTCAAGTCACCCGCACTATAAAAAGAAAAATGAATGTTCTGACTTTGCCAAACAGCCAGAGCATGGCTCTGTGGAGAGGCGAAGCTCAAATTGGAAGCACTAGGTACTTTCTGGATGGCACCTTCTTCTTCACAGAAGGTCTCCTGGGTACTCAGATGAGTTAGAATTGCTGAATGCTGCCTATATCTCAGGTGAAAGTGCAGTGGCATACAGATAAAGGAGTCTACAACTGGCATTGCCACTCATCAGTCAAAGATCCAAGTAATGCTAATAGGAGAAAATGTGAGGGGAAAATATAGGGCCCCTAGTAATCATGGTGCTGTTTGTAGTGAGGATCAATACTTGCTATTCCTCCCATCGCTTGCTCACATAGGGAAAG